TAATGCAATGTAGGGCCCATCAGAGAAGTAACGTAGAGAAAAGAACATCGCCAACAGCAGAAAAGATACCATTCTGTATACCCTTTATCTCTGATGAAGTGAGCACCTTCGGCGATGTCTGAGGAGAGCAGGGTTGGACAATTCAGTCTTGGTAGTAGACATGCCCCGAACAATTTGAAACGCATTCTTGTTCGGAATCGCATGTACGACCGCAGCTGCACCATGCCAGACTGTCTGATATGTCCCACATCAAAGGATGGCGACTGTATGAGTACAGGGGTTGTCTACCTCATCTCATGCAAAAGTTGCGGTGACGAGTATATCGGGGAAACAGCGCGCCCACTATGCGTACGCATCAAAGAACATCTCAGTGGCAAAGAAAGATCACGCCCATCCACTCCACTGGGCGTCCACAGAGTGCACGAGTATCAAGGAGTGAATTTTGAAGTGAATGTAGAAATCCTTGCGTGTGAGCCTCAAACATCTATTCGCAAAACATTGGAAGCGTTCTGGATTCATTTCAAACACCCTAAAATGAATCGCAAAGATGAGTGCCTTTCTATCACTTGCGAGCTCGCACCATATCTAGATCAGATTTTCTAATCTGGTGAAGACATGTTTAATCATCCACTCACGCGATCAGTCAGCGCTCGTTTATACTTAAGAATTCCACCGGCGATCGAAAAGGTGAGTATTGCGTGTGGCAGCTTGCTTGAGATCCGAAAGAAACCTTAGAAATTTGCTTGTGAGGCTGACGAGATGCTTGATCGGGTAGTTTATGGATTGTTGTCGCCCATGTCAGGCTCTGAAGAAGGCGACATAGCCGAAACGTCAGCCTAATAAATATTGTTACCAATCTCGGACGTGGCTCAACAATCAAATCAACATAATTTACGAAATTGTTCTCAATTGCATTTTCGTGAGTTTTCGGCTTTTTTAATTGCTGTTTTGGATTAATTTCAAGGTAGCAAGATTAAGCAATCCATGCTACTGTCTAATATATCTCCTTTCAAAATTCAAATACTTTTGAAGTGATAGAAAGCACCTCTTGTGTGCTATTTGGTGTCCATCTGACAATAAAAATCGCGCCTCTTGACATACACCCCGTTTTTGTTTGCCCATCAGTAGGCACGACATAAATACTCTACCAAGCATAACTAGTGATATATTCGTAATTATCTTGTCAGGTAACCCCTCTGGGCCAATGACTCGTAGTAAAGCTAACTCAGTTCAGGTGAACTGAACGAGGCCCTCATCCAAGATTCGGTAAGGTAGACTGCCTATCACCAGCTTCCCATGTAGTAAGAATGCAAAATGAAATTTCAGCTGACCGTCCATCTACCTGACGAGGTAGTCTACCTTACTTCAGTCAGTCCACATTCAGTTAGACTACCAATTGATTTAGATAGTGTGTCAATGATAATACGCAGAGAAACTTCTCGTAAGTTACTCCTGAGTAAGTAACGATACACGTCAGTTTAACATGTCGGTGAGGAGCCACAGTAATGCTGACGAGACTTAACAAGATCTAAGCGGCCACATCCCCGCCGCTAGTCCAATGACGTAGATGTGAATGTTTGGCAAACTCGTCTTGACTCGTATACTTGCATGGACGTGGCGCTCTCAATCTTATCATCGTGGGTGGTTGGCAATATCAATCAATGGCTCGACTGAAGGCAAGCTGACTCGTCGAAGCCTCAACTGAAATTTTATTCAGCTGAGATCGAATGAAGCAACTTTACTACGGGCCTATATCTCAAAATGAATTAGCTACTTCAATTTGCACTCCATGCAAAGTACTGCTCCATGCCCGCCTATACCATATCCTGCTTCAAATGACCACCAAACTATAAAAATACCAGTGCGTCACCTCTGCTTCGCAGAGGCTCGCATTGGCCCTACTATCTATGTGCCTTACTTATTCTCGTAAAATTGTGGCACTGGAACTCACCGCGCTATGCCGACTACCACGAATAAAATGTAAACAACTACTCATTTAAAAAGCTTTTTCACGTGAGATCGGTGATTTCGCGTAGATAAAACTTTTCACAGGAAGACAAATGCAAATTTGAGTAGGTTTTTGAATTTGTCATCGCTTGGTTGTAGCCATAAAGGCAATAGTAATCGTGAGCTGCATCTCTGTGCGAAAATCTTCTGAAATGCCTGGCTAGAACCTTGGCAAATTGACCATTTACGCAACCAATTCTTTTTGGCGCCGTTTTCGTTATGTAGTAAACTTTTGACCACTTTTTGGGCTAAAGTCCATCGTTTGCACATTTGCTAACCAAACACACCCACGACTTTGCAAAAAGTGGTGATACGGACCCAATTTTGCGGGACAGAAGCCAGGTGGGTCCGTTTAGCGCGCAACTTCTGAGGGATCCACTCAACGAATCTGTTCGTGCTTTTGCATGTTAGACTTTCATGAAGGGAGCATGCACTATGCAAAATTTGGGCTTATAACACTGGCTGAAACATGCTTTACGAATTTCGTAACAGACGGACACACACACAGACACACACACACAAAAACACGTAAACAACCTTTAGCCCGTTATTATAAGACCAGTGCGTCACCTCTGCTTCGCAGAGGCTCGCACTGGCTGTACTATCCATATACCAACCTCGTAGTCGCAGAATGATGGCTTTGAAACTTACATCGCGATGCCGATCATCACGAATGAAATGTAAACAACTACTTATTCCAAAAGCTTTCTCATGTAAGATCGGTGACTTTAAGGGAAAGAAAGTATTCTTCAAAAGATTAAATGCGATTTTGAATCAGTTATTGGGGTTATAATGACTTGATACTCGCCATAAAGATCATGGCAACCGTGAGTTACATCTCTGAGCAAAAATTGTCCCGCATTCCCAGGTAAAACCTTGACAAATCGCATCTGCGCAATTATTCCTTTTTGGCGCCGATCTTGCGCGAAAGTAAACTTTTTGCTCACTTTTCGGGCTAGGGTCCATGGTTTGCGGATTTAGTTGCTAAAGGAAACCATGACTATGAAAGAAGTCCAATTACAGGCCTATTTTGGCGCTTGAAATGTCGCGTGGATCCGTTTGGCGCACAATTTCACAGGTTCCAATTATCGGATCGGCTTGTGCTTTTGCACATTTTACCCACCTGCTGATAGGGTACTACTACCAAAATTCTAGCTCAAGACCTTTGCTGGAACTCGCTCTACGAAATTCGTGACAGACAGAAATTCACACACACACACACACACACACACACACACACACACACACACACACACACACACACACACACACACACACACACACACACACACACACACACACACACACACACACACACACACACACACACACACACACACACACACACACACACACACACACACACACACACACACACACACACACACACACACACACACACACACACACACACACACACACACACACACACACACACACACACACACACACACACACACACACACACACACACACACACACACACACACACACACACACACACACACACACACACACACACACACACACACACACACACACACACACACACACAAACGTAAACAACCCTTAGCCCGTTATTATAAGTTATGATCTTGATGGGCTAGTCAAAATCTCATTTGTCCCATTTTCAGCTCGCAGCGGTTCTGCTTTCAGCAATTATTGCTTGAATGAAATAAGACGAATTCAGCTCCAATCACTTCCACAAAAACTACAGACTTCGGACAGAGACCTCGGCTATCGAATCTCATATTTGTTCCTCAATATTCTCTTTGAAGGTAAGTGATGGGATGTGGCGCGACCCCAGAAAAGATGTGGGTGCCACACTTTTGGGATTTGTGTCGCACTCCATAAACCTATCTTGAATCCATTCAAATGTTTGCGTTTTTTTATCGTTGCTACTGCTTAACGTTCTTCTTTATGCACCAGGAATTTTATTTTAATTTTTTAGGGAAAGATATAATCGTTTTTTATACCCATGCAAATAAAAAATATTGCGAAAATATTGGATCACGGTAACATGCTAAGTCTTCGCTACTACGTTGTTAGTCGCGAGGGTAAGCGACAAGAATGTATACTCGATAGTCTAAACCTCGTAAATCGCACTAAAGTAACTTGAGCCTAATTGGTCTCTCTATTCTGGAGTATTGAAAACAAAAAATAGAACAAACGAGATTTTGAATTGCTCTTATTCCTGTATTTGGAGGTAGTTGAAGCAGGATTCCTAAAGTTGACAAAGAAGTGGTAGTTCTTTGTAATAAGTGTAAAAAGATTTAGTCAACTTAATTTGAAGCAGATGTAACATGTTTGTAAACGATCGTCCCACTTGAGTGGCCCAATATTTGAAAACGTCAAAATTTGCTGAAACGTGGCCCACAGAGGTTGTTTGACACGCTAACTACGAAAACGATGCTATTATGCTTTTATATTATGCTTACTGACGTATACGATGGCGGGTCAAAACATCAATGTGCTGGTATTTTCCATGATGGGTCTGACATGTTAACGAAAACCAAGTTATCGTTAACATTGAAATCATCTCGACATACCCCACCTCTTCCTGACCCCTCAATACGACTCTCTGGTGTGCCATGAAATACTCTAGGTTCGACCCTGGTAACCCTCTACAAAATGGTACCTAAAGCTTCTCGAAAGATTTCATGATAAGAGAGCTATTGATATCAAACAGTAAGCACATTTGGGAGTATATGTCCACAAATTTCGTACTCAAATAATGCAAGTGATTCACAGTTCCGGAAAATGGGTAGTAGCTAGTAGCTATTCCAAAAGCTAAATTTGCTCTATGATATGTTTTGTCACTTTGTGTAACCACACTCTTGAGGTAGCGAATATGGTTCTTAACATACTAGCTCTTTATAGCTTCAAAGAAAGACCGTTACAGGTTTAACAGCATCGCAAGATGGAAACTTCAAGGGCAGGAGGGCAATCGGGTAGCATGCGCTTAGGTCAAACATGTAGCATCTTTTCCTCACCTTTTCCTGCATAAAATCGTCCTTATCTTCATCGTCAACGACGTTATCGTCCAACTCTTGACTCGCTGAACTACTGCCAATGTTTGCGTTGTTGGAGTGAGCATCAGCAGTGAAAGATTGTCTGCAATTTCAATCTCTGAAAACATTTGTACTTTTTCAATGATTCAAGAAAATTTGGTAGACGATCACTATTTTCTGAATACGGCGAAACTTTCCTAATGACAACCCGAACAAAAAATGTTTTTTCCTTTTCCCATATCCTTGCCAAAAACTTACATTTCGCTTCCAAAAAGATTCAAACTTGTAATTTGAGGTTCCATATTGTTATACTGATAGCATCTGCCGATAAGTTTGCAAAGACCAAATTACTAGACCTTTTACAGTAGCCAGAAAATTACTTCATTAGGTTCTTCTCGTTCAAATACTGGAATGACATTGAACTTTTGGAAGAAACCTAGCAGGTTTTTTCAACGCATTTTGCTTTTTGAAGAAGAGCCGTTTGCTCTTGGCCTTCTATGTCTATCCCTTTGACTAGCATAAACATAATGTGCGGATCCAAAGAAAAAAACCGATTGAAAGGGGGTAAGAGAGAAGTGCGTATATCATATAAAGTGCGGTTCATAATTATACGAACACCCAAAATTTTGTATGTTTTTGGACTTTTTGCGAGAAACTCAAAAAGCCGTTGGTACCACGCGAAAGAGCATAGCCGAAAACGGTATATGATTCATAAGAATGGAATTTGATGTAAATCTTAGAAGTGTTTTTGCGCCTAATGCAAATTTTTAGCGGTTCATAATTATACGAACACCTCAAACAAAGGTCCATTTTTCATTCAAGTTTGCAGTCATTTGAGTCCAAATTTTTTGTAGAGTTACAGTAACAAAGTCTGGCATATCTGCTACACACTGAACCCAGTGCAGTTCAAAAAGAAAACCGTTACTTTTTTCAGAAGGCTCTAAATGATTTTGGAGTGATTGCGCTCCAAAAACATCCGTTCTTCTGTAGTTTACGCGCTCTGATTAGCTTCTACCAAAGCTATGAGATAAAATAAGCCCTTTCGATAAGTATTTTGTTTGACGCTTGGAAAAGCTTTGCGTTTTCGTGTCGTTTTTCAACCAAGTTCCAACCTTACCACAGAGTTAGCACGATTTTGAGCCTCAAAACTCAGCTTCTCTCTTGCGCAAACATTTGATATGAAGCCGCTGCATTATTTGCGTGATGATGTTTCTGTGCCAAAGTTTTTGGGTTTTTTGTGGAACTGATCTTGAGGCCATGGAGCTAAAAACCAAATAAAGGTATGACTGCAATAGTAAAAACAGTGTTTTTGGTGAAATGACGTCTGCGTGGCCCAAACAAACGCTCAGCGCTGCTGATTTTTTCTAACCAAATATGCATTCTTGTGAACTTTCACATACTATGTGCTTGCTTCATTGTACGGCTTCAGAAGCTGAGTTTTGAGGCTCGAAATCGTGCTAACTCCGTGGTAAGGTTGGAACTTGGTTGAAAAACGGCACGAAAACGCAAAGATTTTCTAAGCGTCAGACAAAATACCTATCGAAAGAACTTATTTTATCCCATAGCTTTGGTAGAAGCTGATTAGAGCGCGTAAACCGCAGAAGAACGGACGTTTTTGGAGCGCAATCACTCCAGAAGCATTTAGAGCCTTCTGAAAAAAGTAACTGTCCTCTTTTTGAACTGCACTGGGTTCAGTGTGTAGCGGATACGTCAGATTTTGTTACTGTAAATCTACGAAAAAATTTGGACTCAAATGACTGCAAACTTGAATGAAAAATGGACCTTTGTTTGAGGTGTTCGTATAACTATGAACCGCTAAAAATTTGCATTAGGCGCAACAACACTTCTAAGATTTACATCAATTTCCATTCTTATGGATCATATACCGTTTTCGGCTGTGCTCTTTCGCGTGGTACCAAAGGCTTTTTGAGTTTCTGTCAAAAAGTCCAAGAACTTCCAAAAATTGGGGTGTTCGTATAATTATGAACCGCACTTTAATTCAAAAATTTGCTTTTGGAACTATCCTTAAATTCCGTAAAATTGAGATAAAAGAGCACTTTAAACTATACTTGTTACAGAATTTCTCGTTCCTTCAAACATCCAAGTCTTTGACGCCAATCTTATGACAAGTTCGAATATTAGGCAAAGTTTCCATCACCATTTATGATTCGTTCGACTTCGTCAAGAGCTCACCCTTTACACGTGCCTCGCTGTTCGCTCACTTCGACCATTTTTCTACACCCCCTCCCCTCTCCTAAACGCCAAACTCCTTGATTAGCAAAAACGCCTTCCTGAATCATGATTTATGGCGGTTAAGGATCTGTCACATAAAGAGTAAGCAGTAGCAATACAAATCAAAATCAATTACACGAGGTGTCTGCCCAGCAAAATCCGACTAGTTACAAGGACGCTCTGGACTTTTTTAATGGTTGGAAATCAAGACAGGAACATTGGCATGCTATTGCCAGACAGTATTGAGTAGTTCTTACAAGTAGTTGTATATCATCTGGCAGGCATGACAGAAATCGTGTGCAGCCTTTAATCAACGAGAAATTAGAGTATAGCATGCGATACCAAAAAAGGCGAAATTTTAGTATTTTGGTCTCTTTTCATTTCTTGATTTTAGCCGCCGAAAAAGTGCAACAAGTTTACTTAAAAATGTTATTGTAAACAGTTCATGAATGACCAAGACGAAATTCTTCCGGATATTTCTAAACGAGATTTGATTTCTGGACGTTACGTTACGAAAATATGGTTTTGCTTTCAAAGTTTGCCTTGTCTATTGTTACAGCTCTATCTTATAGAGCTTTCTTTGCCTTATTTAATACCACATTTTTATCTATATCTTGCCATCATAATCAAAGAGACCTGTCAGTTTACTCAAGAAAATTATTAGGTTGTAAGATAAACATTTATTGTAGTCTTTTCCTAGTTGCTGATGTCGGACACGTGTACATTCATATGAAAGTTCAAATTTTGGTTTTTTTGCGTCACTTTCCGAACTTATAGAGAAAGGAAAAGACTTCTGGCTCTGAAGCAGAAAATGAAAACGAAAAAATCCATTTTCAAGGAATTTTTCCCTGGGAGTTACTTTGGAAGAACCTTGTCAAAAAAAAAATTACTTAACAAACGTGATGTAAGCAAAACAATAGACTAATTATGTAAACACTGTCACCGCTTATATTTGCTACGGTAACGTTCGTTGTCTCCCGCATTATGTCATCTCAAGCTTTGTCTTTGAAGCTATAACGTTTTGAAATTTATCCGGAAAGCCAATAATTTTTTTAACACAGACTATTTTTTTCTGGCAATTCTGAATTGCCCGTTATTGCTCCTTCCTGCCATCTTAGGTTCAAGTCGACCATATCCCGAAAACGTCTAGAAGAAAATCATTTTTATTACAAGATAGGTTTTTGAAACCAGTTCTAAGAAGGGAGCAATAGCACTTATTTAGAAATCGCTAAATTTTTCTACTTGCTTTTAAAGAAGTATCACTTGTTTGAGAAGCGATGTTATCTATATATGTATAAAACTCAAAAATTGTCAGTTTGGAGGGTATGTGCGTTATAGAAACGCGCGCCACTCAACCGATTCAGCTGAAACTTTGCACACATATGTTTTCGACCCTTGCGCAGATGATAGGCTACTTTTTGCGGCGATTCGTTGCGTCCTTCTATCGATTTTTTGATTTGTTTACATTTTCTCAAGGAATTGAAGGGTTATCATGTTCAATCAAGCATTCTCCATACTCATGTAAAGGAGGGCGGTGAAGCTCATTTTCACCTCAGAATCACGAGGATGCGGTTTCCAAGCGGATGTCCCAGGGTAAGTCATCCATACCATATAGGGCGGGGGGGAGGGGGGGGGGGGATGGCTCGCAGTGCAGTGAACCATGGCCCGGGCTGGACCGGGAAAGCCAACTAGTAAAATATAGAACTGAATATTTCTCGAATATTCGTGTTCGAGTGATTTACTCGAACTAGAAAAGTAAAATATTCGGAAAAGTGCATTTATTTGATTATTTGTATAATCGAGTGATTGATAAAGACCTTTATTCGAATATCTCAAATAAGTTGTTTTCAATTTGCCGAGTAAACGAATATTTGTTTACTCGACGAATAAAAAAATAACTTATTCGAACTTTTGTTCGAAAACTCGAATATTCGAACAGAATTTCAAATAAGTTGTTTTTTCGATTTGCCGAGTAAACGAATACTTGAAACATTCGAATAAAATTTCGAATAAGTTGTTTTTTCTATCCGTCGAGTAAGTAAATATTCGAATAAAGCTCCTTTTTAATTACTCGACTATTCGATTAATCAAATAGAGCACTTTTTTGAATATTCGACTCTTCTATTTCGAATAAATCATTCGAGTACAAATATTTGGAAAATACTAGGTCGTTTCAAGAGTAATTTCGCTTTTTTCAAACGGGCACCACATTTGACGGAACAAAGGTTTCTAAGAGACCTTGGAGGCATTTCGATGCAGAATTTCATTCTTTTTTAATGTTTATGAAATTGTTGTAAAATTCTCAATGAGCTTTCAGAAAATAACCAAAATCTGCGACCCATGCTTTTTGAGATGGTCAAGTTTCACGATTTTTTAAAACTTTCATATCAATCCTCAGAAGGAGTTCAAGCAACAATTCGATAGAGTAAACCTTATAGAATACAGTACTTCTTTTCTCAGACAATCACAGGCTCTCAGCCGGCGGCCACAAAGCCACCGCGAAAACCCACCAAAAGCGCGGTGGCCTCATCGCGGCCACTTTCGCTTCCCGCTGAAGTCCTCATAGCAGTCCGCCCGCTGCCAGCTTTAGCCTCCCGCTCATTGCCATGTTTGTAGCCCGCTCGCTTCTACAGTTCTCAGCGGGAAGCGGCAGTGAGGCGATAAGGCCACGGCGCTTTTGGTGGGTTTTCGCGGTGGCTTTGTGGCTGCCGGCTGAAAATCTTGTCTGTGTAGCTTCTTGTTATGCTTGGACTACAACGTTGTAACTTCAATTAATTCATTATAACGATGACAAGTAACAATGAAGAACATAACCATCTGGAGATATGACCACATGGAGAAATAGATATGGCCCCAGATGGTTATGTTCTT